TTGTTGAGGTCCTGAATGGTCTGACGCAATTCTTTAACTTTTGCATCTACCTCTTGAACAACAGGTAACTCCCTTTCTCTTGCTTCATTATAGGTTGCGATCTCTGCATTCAACTGCAAAGCAAATATTTGGTGAAAACTGATGTTCACCTTACAGCATCAAAGGTTTCTCTTCTGATTTACCTGGGCAATCTTAGCCTCCCACTCTCTTCGCTGCTCGTCAAGAATAGTTAAATCCTCAGCAATCGGTCTAAGAAGATTCATTTTTGTGTCTCTGAAATTGAAAACATATAAACAACTTACATTACTAAGTGTGAAACACATGAACTGATTAAAGGAGATTCACTTCACCAATATCTCAATTATGAGAACAAACTTTAATTATTACAGACAACATAAATTCCTCTAATTATACATAATATTCGTACCTAACAATGCGTTTCCCAGTCCCAGATCCAGGACAAATAATCTCATCCAAATGACATTTTATCAACCAAGTGTTTTATTCTGCAGCACTTCTGATTAAGAACTTCAAGCCAATAACTTATCCAGGGCTTGCTAGTTTCCTCTTTTATATCATGTTAAGAATCCACATGCAAGTATGAAGAAAACAGTAGATACATAATAACTTAATCATAACCGTAAACTGGACAAACATGATTATCACTTGCAAAGAGTGCTTTGAAATTCAACAATCTTAACAAATATCCTAATAAATACTTATAAGAGACACTACTTTGACAAACCAATCTACCAAATTCACAACTAAATCAAACAGTTCAAAAGAATTTTTCAAATTCCCGAGATAAAATTCACTATTTATTTTAGTAGAACCAAAAGAGGAAACTCACTTGTGAAGACAAAAATTTAGAATTGCACTGACAAAATACTCGGTCCGAGTAGCATCTGGTCTTACAAGATCTTTGAGTGTAAATTTCATCGGGCAATCAACAGAGCTCACCACCTCCTTTATCCTACTATACAAATTCATGGTCTGAACTGAACCCACATGAAGGTCCGGATTCTCAAGCTCCTCCAAGGCACCAAACTCCAGTTGCCCCTGATCTTCCCTGCAAGAAAAGAAAACAAACCCACAAAACAAACGCTCTCATTAATCATAAAACAATCAAATGAGTTCAAAAAATCAAGAAAACCAAGCAAATAGCACGCATACTCGTGGAGAATGTCGAGGTAGATCAAGAGTCGGGTGTAGAGATCCGAAATGAAATCCGGGTTCGGGTTCTTGAGATCGTTTTCTGTAATAATAGCTATCTGTGAATCTGCCAATATCGAGATGATTTCCGCCACCGAAAGCTTGGGGTAATCAAATTTCGACATCTTTACTGATCAATTCTCAACAAACAAATCCATTTCCACAACTAATTTCTGCTGTTTCAATGAAATCTAAAGTCAAATAACCTTAACACTTTAAAATACATAAATTAGGCCGTTAAAGAAGTTAGAGATTTTAAAATCAAAATCATTTAGGACTTTCTACAAACACCTAATCGGCAAATTCCAATGCGCCAATCTAACCAACACCAACGAAGAAAGAAATTACCAAATTAATAAATCTCAAAGAAAAATTATAATTTATTTATAAATTACCTTAAAATGATTTAGAATAAAGACGGGAGCTATGAACTACTTTTCATCAAACGTTCTGTTGCTGACCCAATTGTGCTAGCAGGGAGAAGAAGGCGGCAGATTGATGATTTGAGTTTTTGAATTTTCCCTCAATTTTTAGGCGGTGTTTATAAGATAGAAACTTCGTCCAAGTTTTTGGTCCATCAGTTTCGTAAACTAACAAAACAACTCCAAATCTTAAGACGGCACATCGCACTCAATTTTTAGGCGGTGTTTAAAAGATGGAAACTTTATCTATTTGGTCCATCAGTTTCGTAAACTAACAAAACTACCCCAAATCTTATACCATCATCTTATACGTAATGACTAAAATACCCATATACTCTCTCTTCTCCTATTACTTAGCTTTTTATTATTATTTTTTTTACCTCTCACATAGTATTATGATCAATAAATCAAACACAAATAACACATTTATTAGACTAGGGAAATGTAGAAAAAAATTCCGAGGGTAAAACGTAGAATTCTAAAAAAATCATACAAAACTTAAAACGAAATAAACGTATTCAAAGAAAGAACTTGTAGTTTTCAACAATGTTTTCAAACCCGACTTGAGACTCGGGCATTGCCCTACTCAAAGGCCCAAGTCCTAGGTTGATCAGTCTAATCAGTCCAACCCAATCGGTGATGTCATCATATTGACATCAGCATCACATAATAAAAAAATTAAACCCTAAAAATTAATAAATTTCTAAAAGACCTTTTAAGTTCTTTTTTTCCTCATTTCCCAGTTTCCCCACTAACCAAACCGATTTCTCACTCCTTATCAAACTCATATAAACCTCTTAAAACTAAGGATAATACTAGACGTACACAGAAATTTTCAAATATTTTTTGTACAAAGTGATGTGATAAAAGATGAATTGATGAGTGAATTTGATGAATTTGACTTTTTGTATTCACTATTCCATTCATCGTTTGCCACATCACTTTGTACAATAAATCTTTGTAAATTTCTTTGTACCTCCGGTATTATTGTAAAAGTAAAAAAACAATAAAATACGAAGGGAATTAGGATTGTGTAAATTGAAATTTCATTTTTCAGTAACCCAGTTTTGGCACCAATCCAGTTGGATCGGTGGTTTGCTACAATGCGATTGATCCAACTACAGATCAAACCAAATTGATTGATGAAAAGGTCTTCAAAGTGTGACTGGCCCAATTTAGACCCCGGCTCCTGGTTCAACCAGTTAAACCGACCTCGCCAGGTCTTAAAACTTATTACTATATTTAAAGTTAAAATACAAAAAATGTTTGATGAACTAATTTTGAAATTAATTATTGTTAAAGCTGAATATTTTACTATTATTTTTATCAATGATTTTAAAAAAGCATCTAGAAACCTTTCAATAAAATAGATTAATATTCTACTTTTTCTATAAACAAATCCGGTATTTATGTTAAGTTGATAATAAATAAAAAATATTTAGAATACACTATTTTTACCTCAAATTTATTATCTTATTACATCACCCTTCTAAACATTAGTTATTCTCTAGTTAGAATCTTCTCATATTAATTTTGATCAATAAATGTTTAATTACTGTTAGGGTGTGTTTGGTTCAAGGAATGTTGTATTATTGAGAATGTTATATTAATGGAAAGATAAATTACTGAGGCGATTACTGGAAATGTTTAGAAAAATATGTTTAATTATGTTAGAATAAATTGGTGGGTATGTTATATTGATATGTTTGGTTAGGGGGTAAATTTGTGGATATGTTATATAGATTATTAAATTGCCATACTTTTAAAATATTAATATAATATTATTTTTTAAATCATATTTTTTAACCTTCTATATTTGAAATTTTGTTAAAAAACCACAGCCATATGAAAGTTTAATTTATAACAAAATCACCCCCCTTACCCCAACGCATTGCCAGCTGCCGACCACCACCGACAGTCATCAGAACGGTGCATGACTGGTCAGATATGGCCGCAGCGGTGGTTGCCGACGGCAGGTGGGTGGGGGTGGTGGGTTGGGTGGGCTGCAATTTGTTTTGAATTCAAGGGTAAGTTTGTCCAAAAAAATTATTAATTTGGGTGAAATAGTAAAAACCATATTCATGTAAATAAATTTAAAAATAAGGGCATTATTGTCTTAAAAAATTATTAATAAGGGATAAAATTGTAACAAAAAAAAAAAAAAAAAACCCTGGTAATCTTAGAATATCTAAGAAAATTGAGTTAATCAGATTACTTCAAATATTACCAATAATAACTACTATTGGTATTTAAAGATTACCGGTATCTTATACTACTTGACAACCAAACATAGTAATCAAGTAATATAAGATAATTTAACCCCAGTAATCTCATATAACCCCCAATCAAACGCCCCTTAGATTCATCTTATTTGATTGATATGATATTTTACAACTTATTATATTCATAATTATGATAAATTAATATGAAGATGTTGTAACTAGAAGAATTATTCGGTTAATAGTACCTAATAAAAATTCATGGCTAAAAAAAACTTTACTTAATTGCAAAAGAATCTGAAAAAGTAGACGGACTGGAGAAAGAGATGAGAAATAAAAAAGGAAGCATATCTTCCTTCAAGAAAAAAGATATATTTCAAAATTTATTTTTAAATTAAAATATAAATTTAAGATGTAGAAACGAAAATGTAATAGGTGATGTAACTTAAATAAATTTTGACTGAGGATAAAAGTAAAACTGTATTATTCGAAACAAATAATAATAATTGAGATCTATTAACATAATAGATTGGGAACAAGTAGCATCATTTCGATAATTAATTTAATTTAAAATAAACGATAATATAATATAATGGTCTTAAAATTAACTCGACGAATAATTCTCTAGTGGTCATATCAATTAGTAATTAAAGAAAATTAAGTTTATGATTTCTTGAATAATATACTTAAAAGTATTTATTCGATCGCTTAGTTATCCAATAGGTTAATTAGTGGTCGTTATCTTTTAATCTATATGTTTTTAGAATAATTTTGAAATTGGCTTTTGAATTTAATGGAAACTATAGAAGATAAAATATAAAAGGGGTTTAAATATTTGTAATAGCTTTTTTCATAAATTTATATTTAAGTTATAGTATTTTAATTAATGTAACTCTATTTTTGAGGTGTATATCATCAATCTATAATTAATATAGACAGTATTATTCACTAGAGAATTAAATTTGTTAATTTTTTTTTTTTTAATATTGAAGTAATGTAAAAATTAAAATAAAGTATTCATTTTACAAAAATGTCCTATCGAACAAGCATAGACCCGTTTAACCCAAAGCCGGACCCAATAACCCGAATCCAGTTGAAAGTTCAAAAGGTCTCGTCACACTCGTTTGCAGCGCCACCACCATAACAAATGTCGACTCTAATCCGCCGAACCGCCTCGATTTTCCACCTCAACTCATGCTGTTCGGGTTTCTACTCGACCCGCTATCTCCACAACCGGGCCGTAAACGGAACCCCCACCGGTCTCTATGGCTTTGATCAATTGAAGACCCCGAAAGGCTTTCGGCGGTTCGTCGATGAAGCCATTGAGAGGTAAACGAATTAGAATTTTAAAAAGTTAAAGATGAAAAACGGAACAATAGACTTTTGAAATTGGTTTGTTCGCCATTGCTGCTTGGAAGCCACGAAAATGTGAGAAGAAAACTAAATAAATTGCAGTCATAGGAAGCAGAAAACATGATATTTCTTGTATATTAGTTTGTTATGTGTTTGACTGCATTGAATGTAAATGCGGGAAAAGGAGAAAAGGAAATGGAGATCATTATTTTTTAATTGCTTCATCGTTTTATTTTATTAAGAATTATGCAGTTGCTGTTATATTATTAAAGGGGCAGAAAACGTAAACTAATATTACTTATCTATAAAATAAAGTAAAAAAAATTGAGGTGCGTATCTAATGAATAGCCATAGTGTTCCTACTTATTAAAGCTTGTAAGAGTTGATGGGGCCTTAGTTTCGAGCTTGAGTTCTAAGAGTGTTTCAGGTTTTTTGGTTAATTTGCAAATAGGAAAATGTTAAAGGAAAGAGAAGGTTGAAGCATCATTCTATTGCATTTTTGTAAAACTTATTTACCTGTTGATTTCTAAATTTTGTTAATTATGCTTCTTGATTCCCATTTTTATTCTAATATTCATTGAATTTATTATTGTTAGGTCTACAGAACTTGTTGATTATATAGCTGAGATGCCTTCATCTATGGAAATTATTCGTACAATGGATGAGATTTCAGATACTGTAGGTTTCTCCCTCTTCTGGTATTCTGATTTTTCTTTTTCTTTTTGAGAGTGTTTAGTAATTGGAGTTTTTGATTTGTAGGTCTGTTCGGTTGTTGATTCTGCAGAACTGTGTAGGCAAACTCATCCCGACAGGTTGCTCTTCTTCATTTTTCACCTTTTAGCTTATAAGCACATTTAATTTTTAATGCTAATGCACATTATTCTTTTGGGTATTTATTAATTTGGTTTTGTGTTTTTCAGAGAATTTGTCGAGGAGGCTAACAAGGCATCAATGAGAATCAATGAATATCTACATGTGAGGTGACCAGTGATCCATTTAGCTTATAAATTTTCTTGGTCACAGCATGCATTTGTACCCATGCTCAGTAGTAAAGTAATTTAGCTGCTATTTATGTTAAGCCTATATTTATGTAATTACCTGAATGTTTTATGTTGCCTGTCAAAGGGAATAAGATGGTGCTCTAAAACATAAATGTAGCTATATTGAAGTGATAACCTGGTAGTCTGCAATGAATAAAACAAGTTATATGTTGGCATAACATTTCATGGACACTGATTATTTTGTTTTGTAGAAAAATGTAGACAGTTAAATAATGCAGTCAATTGGCTGCACTGCAAATTAGGACTGTAGATATTGAATCAACATTTCATTTTTTTTATGCTGACAACCAGGGCTCAGAAAAAGCTGAGCAAATTAAGAGCTATGGTCTTATCTAGTATTGTGTTAAGTTAGCTAGGCAAGATAACTGTTAAAATAGTCCTTGAATGCTTTTTGAATAAGTTCAGGTTTCAAAGCCCTACTATACTGTTTGAGCCACCAGTTACTTATTAAAACGAGCTTGAACATCCTCTTCAGTTGCTTAAAGGGGTTGAAGACAAGGCCATTATGCATCTTACATAACATGGATCTCTCAGACACCCACTAGACTGAAACATGCTGAGGATTTATTCATTTGACAATGATTTAGTAATAGTTGATCAATGACCAGCGATCATTTTGGGAGTAAGTCTCTGGCTGAAAGCAAGATTCCATTCATTGTCACTTGCAATGTGAGAATGTGGTTAGTTGGCGCCAAAATCTTTGGGAAAGTGTTGATAAAAATAATTTTCTTTCCAAACATATGTCGGTTTACTCCACACGCCTTGAAGCTCCACTAAGATTCATTAAACTTTGATTTAATCAGCTTTTGCTTTGAGTGAAAAATATTGTCCATAGAGTTGTTCTATGTTTTTTAACGATAAACCTGTATATCACCATGTGCTATTGCTAGTAATCTTATTGGTGCATTTCTTTGTTGTTGTTCAGTATCTAAATACAAATCATACTCTGTATGATGCCGTGAAGAAAGCCGAGAAAGATGCTCATTTGCTTTCCAGGGAAGCTCATAGGGCTGCCAGTCATCTGCGCATTGATTTTGAGAAGGGTGGAATTCATCTCTGTCCTGGTATGTGATAGATTATTATTTACTTTTTAAGTTTTGTTGACGGACAGTTTTTCACTTTCAGTAAATAAACACCCTGCTTTGCTTTGCAGAGAAACTTGATCAAGTTAATCAGCTAAATATTGATATTTTTCAGCTGTGCAGGGAGTAAGTATAACATCCCTTCCAGTGATGCACTTCTTATGACTTCTATATTCCATAATGTAATTAATATAATTGATGATGTTTGAATAATAATTGATTGTGATGCATATTGTGTGTGCAATGTTATGAGTCAGGTTTGGTCAAAATATTATCAATGACCCAGGTCATGTGGATGTATTTCCGGCATCACGTATCCCAAAAAATATACATCATCTTCTTAAGCCCATTCATCGATTAACATCTGGAGCATCAAGAGAATCATTAAGGTCATGCAATAGCATGAAAGAAAAAGGATTTCGGATAATAACTGAGCCCCGCACTCTACATTCTGTTCTGCAATGGACATCAGATGATGAGGTAGCTTTTATTTTTTTTTATTTCTACAATTTAATTAAGTTGAGACTATACATTAGATACTCTGGGCTATATGTCAATTGATTATATTTAGTTAAGGAAATTAAGATTTTTTAGGAAAGAAGAAAATTGTCAAATTTTAAATTGCACCATCTTATTTTTATTTTCTATTGCAGTCAGACAGATTTCAAGATGCATTTATCTTTCTTTTTTCTTCTGTTTCTTTAGGTCAGGAAAATGGCTTATGTGCAAGGGAACTCTGTCCCACATGCGAACCATGAAGCTCTTGACAGGCTTATAGCTGCCCGCCATGAGCTTGCCCAGGTTGTTTATCGTCAACAGAGTATGAAAGATATATGTGATGCTATGAGGCACTTGGATATTATATTGTTTCCTCATCTGATTAGTTATCATTATATTCCAAATTGCAAGTATGCCTACCTTTAAATTGAAGGCTTAGACTGCACGTTCATTGATTCTCCAATGATGTTTCTAATTTTGTTGCATTTACTTTATTTCTTTCCAGTAAATATGGTTGGAAGTCACAGAAATATACATCAGTGGAAGTTTTGTGAATCAAGATAGATATGAATAATGTGGTGTGTGCAAAATTGTTGGGTTTGTAATCTGTAGTAATAATCATTTTTGTTGTACAAAGCAATTAGCTCTTTGGGTCAAAAGTACTTGGTTGCATGAGATATTTAAATTGGATGCCTCTTTACCTTTTATCATATGCTATTTTTGACATGTCCTTATTTTGTTGCTGAATGTAGATTATGGGTTATAGGTCTTATGCTGATTTTATAGTTAAGCCAAACATGGCTTCATCTCCTGAGGTAGTGACGTCCTTTTTGCTTGAGATGAATAAGATGATTAAGCCGAAGGCTGATGAGGTATTATTCTCTGCTATAAATTTGCAAGGTGTGCAGTTTTTTACTGCCTCATTTAGGTGTAGGCTTTGTTTCTGTTTTCGTGTTTGATTAGTGTTTACTTTTCTTGTAGGAGTTTAAGGCAATTCGCGATTTTAAGAGGAAAATATGTGGTCAAAGATTTGTAGATTTGGAGCCATGGGATGAGGCTTATTACACAGCAATGATGAAGTCTTCTACTTATAATCTGGACTCTTCAGTAAGTATATGATTTTGTTCATGCTGCAGATTAAACTCAAGCAGCATTAGGTTTCTATCCAAAAAAAATGTGACCAGCAGAGTTTGTTTTGTTGCTTCTATGAGTATTTTATGGTGACTTCTTTACGTTCTTGTCTCCACATTTATTTTCAGTAGTACTGTTAATTTTGGTTGCAGAGACAGGCAACTGTTTTTTTATTTTCTAAATTGCAAGGTTTCTTTGGCAGGTTGTGGCACCATATTTTCCTTTGCCACAATGTATTGAAGGTTTGAAAGTGCTAGTGGAGTCATTATTTGGTGCTACATTTCATAGTGTCCCCCTGGCACCAGGTGAATCATGGCACCCAGCTGTCCTTAAAATGTCCCTTTATCACCCTGAAGAGGTATAGAAATGGTTGATGGGAGAGTAATTTTTTCATCTTTTTTGAATAATTTTGACAAAAATCTTAATCATTTTGAAGATGAATATATATTGTATCCAACTTTTACTAGTATCCTGAGTTTTGATGTAGAATTAAATAATTTGGGTTATGCCTTTGTATCTCGGAAATTATAAATGTTCTTAGGCATACACAATGACTTGGACATTAGAAGTGCAGGTGTGCATGCACATACACACACATAGACATCCGTGTTTAAACTTTTAAATGCATTTTTGCTTCTCCTCCATAGTTAAAAAAAGTTTACATACCTGCCTGCTATCATCATCAGTAGTTGAAAGAATTTTATTCCAACTTTCAGTGTTTTGCATTTCCAATTATAAATTGACTTTTGTCTAGTGGTTTTACATTTCTGTTTCAACCTTGAATTTAAGCATTCTACCTTTGTTTCAGGGAGACATGGGATACCTGTACCTTGATCTTTACTCAAGGGCAGGCAAGTATCCAGGTTGTGCTAATTTTGCAATCAAAGGGGGACGTCGAATATCAGAAACAGAATACCAGCTTCCTGTATGTTTATGTTTTAGTAGCATTTGTCAGTTTGTGTTACTACTTGTTTTTTCTTTTTCTTTTTTTCAACTGTCATCCAAGGTGGTACCTGTGCCATATTGTTGAGTCTCTCGCAAACCCACTGTTTATGCATTGTGTGCCACATTGCTGTACTTCTGCATGTATTGTGCGTGGCTGCTTGGCCAATTCCACATGAGCATTACTGACTACATATGTGTTCTTAATTATCACTATTTAATACAATTCTGTCACGTCTTTAACTTCTCAATGCTTGTCCATCATGTATCGCTCAGAACCTTGCAATGCACACTTAGCATGCACTGTTAACCTCATTGGTGCTCTCATATGTTCCGTATGAATTGTGTGCACCTGCACCCCCACTTGAGCCCTGAAATAATGTAAGCATCCCATGCCTGGCATGCTCAGATGCCAAGATTCTGACACTAGACCTTAGGAATATTCAATTTGTGGCTATTATATCATAACATTGAGAAGTACATCTATATTATTTGCTTATGCGGTACTTTTTTATAATGGGTAAATTTCTAGTAATTGTTTAGTGAATTTATCCGGTTTATTTATGTTTCTGTGGAATAAATAACCATGAAGTTTTGTGTGTATTGATTCTGTTTTATGTTTGAACTCTTGTCCTGAGAGCCAAACAGTTGGCTTGTTGATATCCAGTGCCTCTTGTTGAGTGAAATACATAAAAAGAGCCATTAACCTGAAGCTAAATGTCAAAAGAAAGATCCGAAGGGACCAACTTAGACATAATTCCAACCTTCATTACTTGTTGCTTGACATAATAATGGTTTGGAACTTGTGAACTTGTGTTACTTAGTCCAGATTTCTGTCTCCTTGCACCAGACCCATTTTGGTGGGAAATGTGTTCTTTTGAAAGTTCCTGCACTTTTAGAATAAATATGAATATGATAATCCTGAAAGTTGTTTTGTGGGCTAAATTTTGTTCTTGCTTGCCAAAAGATTTTGGCTACCAAGTTTGTTGGGTCTAGACAAGACATAGCTTCCAGTTTAAAACTTTGTGAACGTGTAGGAAAGATTGAGAGATTTCTGATATCTTCCCCCCACACCCCGCCCCCCCCACAAAAAAAAAAGGTGAGGGAAAATTAGTTCTTGATGAATATGCTTACTTGCAGGTTGTAGCCCTCATTTGCAACTTTTCAGGTTCCCATAATTCATCGACCGTGAGGCTTAATCACTGTGAAGTAGAAACTCTATTCCATGAGTTTGGACATGCCCTTCATTCCTTGCTCTCAAGAACGGTATTATGTTGATATCATACTACTAAGCAAACAAGTTACGTGACCTTGATATGATTTGTCACATTTTATGTCTTAAATATGCTACAGGATTACCAACACTTTTCAGGCACCAGGGTGGTTCTTGACTTTGCTGAGACACCTTCAAATCTCTTTGAGTGAGTAGCACCCTGCTGTTGCTATAGTATCATCTATCTTCATATTGTTTTAATTTGATTTTTGGCATACTAAAGTTGAGTATTCTTATTGTTTTGATTAGTACATATGATGTATGACCAATAGAGAAAAGGATAGAGAAAGAGAGAGAAGAGAGGGAGAACATAATAAAAACTAAAGAGGAAAAGAGAATAAAATCTGTAGGAGAAAGAACTCAAAGTGATCTAGAAAGAACATGATTCAGTCATTCTATATTTTCTGTAATTAAGTTATTTAACCCAGAGAGAATACAGTTGGGCTCTGTAGTGGTAAGTTCTCGATAAATGGAATCCAAATTTCTCAAATAAGTAATAACAATATACTCCTAAATTGTAAAGATTGGGAGAAATAAAATGATAATTCTATCATTTTTGTATTTGCTTTCCAGAGGTAATACATTAAGACCTACTCATAGTGGACAAGTTTTAAACAAATTGAATCTAAATCTACCTGAATAAGTAATAATAATTTCTTTTAATATGTTAAAGAAAACTAATTCAAGTCATAAAAATATAACCAAATTTTTAGATAAAAATATCTCTTGCATTAAATAGTTCCATATTTCCATAGCTTGTTCTACATTGAACTTCCACCAAACTTTTGTAATGAATGTGCAAAATCTTATAATCTTATTATGTGGGTCCTTATAATTGGTGTTAGAGCTAGATTTTCCTTTCCATGTTGGGTATAACCCAGGGTATGACTGATCTGATATGAAGATGTATGGTTTCTACTGGGATAAATAATAACACCTAAGATCCAAAATGCATGAGGCATGGAAGTCAATATCATTGAAATGAAGACAATTGTCAAAGTTTTATGTTGTCAGAGGGTCAAACTTTATAGGTAGACTCCCTTTTTCAAACAGTACATGTTTTGGATGGTAACTGAACGAACTGCATTCTCCAAAGTGGACAATGCCACCCTTTCTCACTGAAAACTTGAATAAATGTGTTAAAATTATTAAATAGAATGTGTAAATGATCTAAAATTCTTTGCCTTTTTTATTTTTTCTAACTTACCTTTCTATAGATAGTTAATTCAAACACCAGTTTATTTGACAAAAATAATGTCATGAGTGTGAGAACTGATATAACATGTAATACCCATTAAATATTTTCTCAATGCTCTCTCTTTGATGTATAACTTTTCTGAAAGAAGCAAAGATTAATTCTGTGCTTTAAAGTTATTCTGGCACTGATTTTGGTGGTATACCCAGATACTTTGCATGGGATTACCGAGTCTTGAGGAGATTTGCTAAACACTATTCAACTGGTGAAATAATACCTGAGAAGTTGGTAAACTCTTTGCAAGGTGCCAGAGACATGTTTGCAGCAACTGAATTGCAACGTCAGGTTTGTTGTTGAAGGCCAATATTGAATAAACAAATGATGCCTGCAATTTGTTCATGGTGGTGGAAAGAAGTACTGACCAATGTTTGTTTGCTTGTATGATTCATCAGATTTTTTATGCTTTGGTCGATCAAACGCTGTTTGGTGAACAGCCATGCCCAACCAGGGATACAAGTTCTATTGTTGCTGATCTGAAAACGCAATATACCAGCTGGAACCACATGGAGGGTACTCATTGGCAGATCCGATTTAGTCACCTCATTAATTATGGGGCAGGTATATTTGACATCCATGTATTATTATGTGTTTTTTGAAGGATGTTGTGCTTGCGAACACACAAGCATGTTTAGTGTAAGTATGCGTAAAGTGTGATGTTGCAGCCTAACATATTCACCAAGTGTACATGATGAATTGGAGCATCTAATGTTGAACTAGAATATGCACGAACCTTTTTCCACTGCTGATTGTTTCTTATATATGTAGGCTAATTTCAATTGATGATTGTTCCTTGTATATGTAGGCTACTTTCCACTGATTATTGTTCCTTATGTATATGTAGGCTACTATAGCTACTTGTACGCCAAATGTTTTGCTGCAACCATTTGGCAAAAGCTATGCCAGGAGGATCCACTATCATTAGTCACAGGAACTGCTCTTAGGACAAAATTATTGCAGCATGGTGGTGCCAGGGAACCAGCTCATTTGCTGAATGATCTAGTGGGCGATAGGATTTTGACATATTGCAATGGAGGCATAATTCCTGACATTACAAGTTTCTCAGATGAAGTAAAGTTGGTGGAAGATAAAGCAAGAGCGGCTGTTCTTGTAGCTGAATAAAGGAAAGAAAATAAGGACAGGGATGGAGAAAAGAGAGATATAGAGAGGCACTTCTTTGTTGGAGAGAAAGCAAATTTGACGTGATGGTCATTTAGACTTGCGGACAAATTGCTGGGAATGGCCTAGGTAATGCAGAGTTCTCAATGTGAGAAGAGACGGCTGTTTAAGTTATTCACTTATTCTTTTGGCATGAAGAGAAGAGTAGCTATATTGGAACCCTGACTACAATTTCTTGTTAGCTTATTCTTTGGTTTATGTGGGAAGCTGAGTTAAACAAAATATTTAAGTAAAATCATTATTAGCATAATTACCAATTGGAACTGAACATATAAATTAATGTAGATGTATGACAAATTGGCCCTCTTTGGTACACTTAGATAATATAAAATTTTGAGAATGTGTTTGATATATTATTGGAAAACATTTTATGCAAATATTAGATTATTTTTAATCTTCTATATTTGTTAATTTAGTTAAACACTCCTTAAATAAAAGTTTATAAATTAATAAAAACACTTTCATTCATCCAACTGACTGTCGACAATTGGCCATCATTATTGAATGGTGGTCAATAATTGTCAGAATGACGTACGATTGATTGGATCTAGTTGATCGTGCGTTAATCTGACATTTTTTTTTAACAGATTCATTGTGTATCTGATCAAAAACAGTTAGATTTACAACTAAAATCTAGTCATCGTTAACAGTCAGGTCGATGCACGATTGGCCAAATTCAGTCAATCGTGTATCGTTTCAATGCCGACAATGACAATGGCTAGCGACCAACAGTGGTTGCTGACAAACAATTATTGCTTGGGTAGATGTGAGTGTAAATGTTTTCAGTTTAATAGATAAAGATTATATTGGACATTGAATTGAATAATCAATATTAAAATAAACAAGTTTTTCACTTTTTAGAATAAGATAATAAAATAGAATAAAGTTTGAAAAGTTAAATAAGCAAACGGAATATTCTTTGCTTTAGTTGAAATGGATATAGAAAAAACTATATTGAGCGATAAAGACCCAAGTATTTTTGACTTGATCTACACCTTTGTCCATCAGGAGTGTTTCTGGATGGGAATTATTTGGATTCAAATGCTAGCTTCTAAAATTTAAAACTTGTGCTTCGACCAAAGTAAATTTCTATGATCTTGGATGGAGGCAAGGTTACTCCACACATGTTGACCCCTGGATCTTGATTAGCTTTAGAATTTAACAGTAGTGCCTCAAATAAGAATATTTGCTAATGGTAATGTTCGAGAGGGTCCAAGGGTGATCATTTTGGGGACAACTTTACCCCTCCAGTACCGTAATTGGACCATTTACGGTAAACAAGTACCGGATCTGTACAATAACATAAAATCTAAACTGTCAAGAGAGTGATTAGGAGTTACCAAAGTTCTTTTTCTTTCTAATCTGGAATATGCAATATTTTCTTTTTCCCTGTCCTCGGTTAGCCATCAAGCATTAGTCTAACCAACTACAATAAGCTCTCAGCTAGTAGCTTACTTTCTATGGTCTCTATCCATTTGCAGATTAAAGAATTCACTTCTTCCGGCCGCTCATCATGTGGGCAATGGCCTGGCATATCAGAAAGAGAGAATGAATTAGAGATGCAATGATTTAATTTTATGGGAAATGAACACAGCTAACAAATTTGCTAGGTACAGCAGTATAATTACCAGCATCTAATTCCCTAATTGCAAACCCGGGACAATGTTCTCTAAGCATATCCAGTTTAGATTTGGAGTCAGATATTGGATCTTTCATTCCCTGATACCAAATAAATCGATCCATAAATTACTAATAAGCAAGTAGCTGTGTTGGATTAATCAAGACACAGGCTCAACACATGCACACAGTGGTATCTTTGATTTTTCAGCACGAGGCGAATTTACCTGTATGATTAGAACCTTTTCATTGAATCCTTCCAAGAGATAACTAAGAGGAAGTGAGAGATTGAAGCTGAAAATACTTTCCAACACTACCAGCACCCCAGGATCATGAGACTTCAATATAGGTTAAGGGAACATAGACATTATTTTCTGTCCCTAGAACAGATAAAAAAAAAAATCAATAAAGAAGAGGATACTGCTCTTAGCATTTCACCTATGAGCCAGTCATCAACTCGCTCTGTCCTCTGCAAAGTGGAAGAATGCAGAATTTATCACCAGATGCAACACAAAGTTGGAAGCTGAAATACAAGAAGAACTTACAGTTGGGTAACATTGTTTCACTACGTTACTGATATTCAATCTCAAGTAGAACAAAAGGAGTCGAGCACCTAGCCATGCGGGGCCAGAAGTCTGTCTTTCCTGAACCATTTGTAAAATCACCAAGTATAATTACAGAGATCATAGATATAAGCAAATAATATCAAACCAGAAACTCAAGACATCTTTAGTAACTTTTCATTAGTAGCTCAGCGATGCAATTCACCAAAAATTTCCCACTACTGAGTAAGCTCAAAGCAGAAGTAAAATATATTAATCTGACACCCTATATCTTCAGAAAAAATTTTCAATAACAGGTCAATGCATGACTAACTTCCAAAATCTCGTAGACCACCATGACATACAAAGTACAAATAAACAGAACTTTGAGGTCTGAGACAAGTTAAATTTAGGAAAATTTGCACAGAATTTTATTTAGACTTACACTAGAGAACTGTGTAAATGAATGTTCAGGAACAACATCTCCAGCACTGTTGATAAGGACAACAGACTTGACCAAAGCATGCCAAAGGCAAGCAACAATGGCAACAAAATAGCCTGGGGATAATATACACAGAGAATTAGGTAACTGATAGAGAGCAATAAAGCATACAAGTTCATGCAAATTCAGGTTGGATTAAAAATATACCACCAATTGAATTCCCTATAAGATGTACTGGTTCACCCACAACTTCAACAACAAAATCTCTCAGTAATTCAGCCCACATTAATTCAGTGTATACAATATTTGGTTTTTCTGATTTGCCAAATCCTAAAACTGTGACGGCCCAAACACGGTTTCCACCTTCAGCAATGCCATATATATTGTCACGGTAGTGCTCAAAGAATGCACCAAAACCATGCACAAGCAGAACGGCAGGACCTTCATTTCCAGCAACTGTATACTGCAAGAATATATGTTTTCAATGGAAAATTACAGAAATCAATTAAAAATTGTTTCAAATATTTCTCCAGAACAAAATACGATAGATCTCCCATAAAATCTACCGACTAAACTATATGATTTGAAAGGAAATTGATTATTAAATGCATCAAATTTCAACTATGAACCTGTATTAGATAGCCATTCCATCTCCATATCCGTGTAGAATAGATTCCTCCTTCACTTATTAGACTTCTTAGAGACATAAGCCAGTACCACTGCCATAGGAAAAAAAACAAAAGGGGTCTATATGAAAAACATTAATTAGTAAAACAAAAGAAAATAAAAGGAAAGCCCCTCATCAGGGTTAGTCACACATTAGACCAATCAAGCACATAACAAATTGTGCATTACTGTTTCTGCAACAAACATATTAAATGGACATTTGCAAGAATCACAATACCTCCATTGAACAAACAGCATCAGCTGCTGCAGCAACAGTGACAGCAGAATATCCAAAGGGTGATAAAAATCCAGCATTTCGTTCTTTCTCATACTTGATTGCTTCATAATGCACTCTCCTTCTCGATATGATACCAAGACAAAGGGCTGGGCCAAAGAGGGTAAAAAATGAAGCTCCATCCCGACTTTCAGCATTACGTAGCCTTTCATGCACCCTGTCACAAGATCAAGTCAAAAAGACAATTCTATCCATGTTACTTAATGCTCCATAAGGTGTATCTTGTACCCCATAAAATTAATCAACAAGAATGACAAGGTAGGCATCAGTTATTCCACAAACATTAGATTAAAACATATTGTATTATTCAGGTAAGAAGTCGTGCACAAGATCTTAAGTTTTCCATTGCATAAATCATGATAAATCAACATGTAAAATCACCACATACTCTTGCCAGTCATCGCGAGCTGTTCCCTCCAAATATCTCAAATATGCTGCCAATGCATTCAATATAGCATTTGTTCCACCTCCTACAATATTACCCTTCTCTGTAACAAAAACGGATGCATCTGGCTTCTTCACTGGAGCATGATTGACATTCAAATTTCTTTTACTTCTTTCCCCTGATTTTGATAACTTCTCAAGTAATATAGTTTCAGCTGAAATATTCTTGATTACAGTCCAACTCTCTTTTAATTTCCATGGATTCTCATTCATAAATTTCTTCAAATCATCAAATGTGGGCAGAGGACCTGGTTCACAGTTCAATCATCATTGTCCCTAGGGTTAACCAAAATTGCACATCAAAAACTTTTCATACACTAAAATTTATGAAATCGAATTTTTACATAAAAAAGAATATTAGGCAGAGAGAAGTACAAGGTAAAGTTTTACCAAAATTGAAACTTACCCCAATCCACTTCCAATTTTGAACCAGATAATGTTGGGGACTGAGTCGGTGAAGTTACAGGCAGTTGAAGTTTCACAAAGTCATTATTTGATACAGGCAGGTCATTCAGATTCTACATGACATGAATATAAATGAATAAATTACACATCCCAAGAACCAATGACACAAACTCAAAAATCAAACACTCACAAAAGGCGAAAAAGACCACCTTAATATCATAAAATGGTGTCTGCCACAGACAAATGTTTGGCTTCCCATCTTTAAAATTTGTTGTAGCAAAGGTTTCATCCACAATGCCTATCATCATCCGAAGGTGGTACTCAACCTCCTCTTCAGCAAATATACTGGTTGCTTTCACCTGTTGCAATCCTTGTGATAAATTTAACAAAAATGAGTGGCCCCCCTTAAAACATCAGCCCACAAAGCAAATATAGCAAATAACAACCTCATCTACAAGTTCCTTGATGAAATTTTCTACTCTTCCAAATCTGATCATCACATCAGACCCTTGTTCCTTTAATGACTTTCTCAAGTCTTCCAAAGCAAAAAGAACCAGTTCTAGCATTTCATCAGAATAAACTGCACAAATTATTGGTTGCATCAGCACATACCAAAGATATAATCATTCACTACCACGTCTTATCAACACTAAATAAAACAAGAATGCGGATACTCAGTTTCACGTATTAACCATCATTGCTTAAATAATATTGTCAGGTCTTAAATGTAAGTAAGAGCTTTTTAATTGATTAATAACTTAACAAGATATTAGAGTCACTTTGACCAAATTGTAAATGTATTTGAATTAGTATATGCATCTGCATTTGTTTGATTTTGGAATTGATTCAAGTGACTAGCTCCTTGATAAACTATGGACTTGCACATAATTTTTTAGAAATTAAATACTACGTTGATCCTTTACCTATACTAGCTTAAGCTTTTAGCTGTAAATAAAACAGTGATTATGATACAAACTTGAATAATGCAGAGAGCATATTCAACAATCATATAATAAATTCCAATCTGAAGATAATGAAGAGGCAAAAAAAAAATGAAAATAGAAAGATAAAGAGAAGGCACTTACGAGAAAGAATCCTATGATCAAAAACATAAAGAGGAAGAACAGCTTGATAGTGAGAGGCAGCCATGAGGCCGAGGTGATCGTCCACGCGAAGATCTTGTTTGAACCACACAATCGCCGACCCTTTTCTTTTGGTTTCTCTCGCTGCTGGAGAGGCGCAACAAATGCATTTGTTTCTACGGAGAGAGAAGTGATTTGGCGCCAAGAACCGAGAAAGAATGCGCGGGAAAGCGATAACAGCCATGAGCAGAATCAGTCGGGTCGTTTAAGATTGAAAAAAATTCTTCTTTCCATGGGAGAGGCTTCGGATTAAGTAGAGCTGGCACTGCACATCGCATCAAACAAAATACGAATTGTGGAGGAGAAATTTTGACAAATTTGATGAGGAGGGGAATGGACCACGACATTCCCTTCTTTGTAAACGTACAATCTGACGTGGGGCCGTTTGCTGCAAGAAGAATTTGTATGCATCTCAGTGGGCAGAGCCGGGCTGGGCTAGGATGGATGGGCCAAGCCGGGCTGGGTTGGGATGGATGGGCCGGGCCGTATTTATATCGGTTAACTAATAACTTATTCAAAAAATAAGTAGACGGTTTATCTATGTAAATAATTATCTCAACCAATGGACACGCAGAGCAGGATTCCAGAGCAAGAGATAAAATGACACAACATCATAATAACCAACTAAACTGAAAATGGCGCTACAACTCCAAATCCGTACTCCATCATCTTTCACCACCACCAAACCCTATTATTATCATCTCCTTCTGTCCACAACCAAATCTAAATTCACAGTTATCAAATCTCAGAATACTCCAATCGACACTGAATCTACTCAAGACTCTCCCAAGAAACCCAAGCCCATTTCACCTGGCCAAGGCTTTGGCTCCTCATCTTCTACTCCTGGGAAACCTACTGCCGCTTCTGTCACTAAGAAAAAGAAAGCCAATAGTAAAAGAGAGAGGGCCTCGGTTATCAGGAGGGCTCCCGTTCAGAAACCCGCCTTTGTAAGTCAAGAAGATGAGGCTAAAGCTAAAGAAATGATGAAGAATGAGAGTGCTTTTCTTCTTGCTTGGTTGGGAATTGGAGGGGTCATTCTTCTTCAAGGCATTACTCTCGCCGCTTCAGGTATATTCAAGTTTTCCTCATTTTGTTAACTCTGCGTATTGATATCTTGATATAATTGGTGACATTGAATGTTTGGTTTTCATATATAGCAGTACTAGTTGAAATTGCAGTTGAGTGATCTGATAATTTAGTTCAAATTTCCTAAATTAGATTCAATATGATGCAATTGATTGAAAATTAGCCAGAAAAAGGGCTCTTTTTGGCCTTACAACTATAAATTTCAAGGAATAGGAGGAAACTTGCTTCTATAGTTCTGTTTGAGTTGTCAAAAAGAGAGAATAAAGATTAAATTTTCAATATGGAACAGTGCAAGTGTGTACCCTTGTTGAATGTGGATGACCTTTTTTTGCATGCTCTAGAAGTTTAAGCCTCTAATAGGAGGTTCTAGTGCTAGAACTTTTGGTAATGTATTTTCTTACGGACAGCTGAAAGTCCGGGTAATGACTACTTCTAGCATATTTCCTACTAAAACTACTAATGTAACTAATTATTCTTATCTTCGTATTTTAGTCTGGCAAACCTGAGGATAGCCTTATAAACCAGATGTTCTGTAAATCTCACAAATCCTCTAAAGAGAAATATGTACCGTCATATTTCCTTGTAGTTTCATTAATTGTTTCATTTTATATATGTATTGCAAGTTGAACATTTTGTTCTTCATCAATATGCTTCCAGAGAGGTTTCAGAGTGCTCAGAAACAGTAGTGTTACATAACATATGGGGTTAATTTCATCACCTCCCTCGAGTTTGGCTTAATTACCAGCATAATAGTGAATAGGCTGAGGTAACTTGCACAGGATGTTTCTGATGAAAATTTTGAATCTTGAGTGGAGGTCTCTGATGATCTTAGGAGAGATTTATGGTGAATTTCAGACCAGTAGAGTCTACTATTATTTTTTGCAAGTCTTCAAATGTTTGTGGAAGTAGTTTAAATTAGCTGCTTCACTCAGCTCTTTAACCACAGGTGTTTAGTTGCTTCTGAATTTGACTTTTTGTTTTACAAAAGATGTGTTCCTTTTCCATTTAACAATGAGTAATACTACAGCAACCGAAGGTTGTGCACCGAATCTGTACACAGAATTTTGCCATGTCATTCGGTGCACAACCTTCGGTGGTTCTATTATTTTCGTTTAACAGTATACCAAAGATTCAATGTCCTATAATAGGGGGCTGAAGGCACAGTAATATGATTTATATGCTACTTCCACAATTAACAGGAAAATAGGGAAATTATCTGAATTTGGATTTTAATCATGATTTATGTTGCTTCCAGACTGTAATGTAGCCGTTTCATTGTACAGGCTTCCTACCAGAAGAGTTGGATAAATTCTTTGTGAAGTATCTGTATCCAACTTTCACTCCAACAGTCGTCCTGTTTGTTGCTGGAACAGTTGCATATGGAGTGGTTAAGTACCTCCAAAATGAGAAACTCAGAGACCAAAAATGAATCATGGATGGAGGATGATAGTTTCAGTTGTAAGAGAACTGGAGGACTTCTACGTTATCCACTTATAATTTTGTGATAGAATGACTATTTCTTACATTTGGTACAAAGAAAGGCAGTTCTAGTTGACTGTGGTGAAATTTTTTGCAGTTGCTTCTTCAGTTTCACCAGGACTGAGCCTTTGAATGCGGTGAAATTCTATGGATGTTGAGGCAACTTTGTTTCTTGAAGTCTTATCCCTTTGTGATATGTTGTAATTACTAAGGCAAATCTGGTTACTGGAACCTTGTTCAATAGAAATCCTATTTATGTTAGATTAACATAGAATGTGCACTTTTTTCATCTAGTTGAATCTTTTTGAAAAAACAAAAAGTTATGAAATTCTCTTTATTTTTGAATAATGTCTGAACACCATGATATTCTTTGTTCTTTCACAATGCCTCACACTTTGAGTCAAAAAATTTTCATGGCAACTGTTTGACTGTAATATTGTTAACAGAGACTAAAATGCTCAAAATCTTAGACCTATATCATTCTTTATTTTCATTTTGCAGGCAGCTGCAAAAGCCTCAGAAAGGATCAGTTTACCTCTGTTGAAGTTGTTCATGGAACAACCTGTTCTCATGGCCAGACGTAAACTTAAATCCCATTAAAATAGGATCATATTCATATAATGCAATTATTGTATATTGAACTTCAGATTGCTAGTACTTGGTTTTAAAAGCCAGTAAAATAAGTTCATTCTTGAGTATCTACAAATTTTGACAGCATTTGTACAGTATCTGCGGTGGTATGCATTCAAGTGGTAGAAATTCTGAACTTCTGTGTATACAGTAAAGTCTGATTAGTTATTTAATTTGCTTCTGCTTAAGTTTGATTGCGTATTTCATTACCATGGACCAAATGAACTTCACTTATTTTATCTGTTTTTTTGCTATAGCAGTCTTCCTTTAATCTCTGACAACAATCAAATCTACAGATGAGAATCCTTCATAATGTATTGGATTGATGGGAAAAGTACACAATACATTAACCCTTAAATTAAGCCAATTCAACTGCTAAATTACTGCCTAAGTTTTCGGCAACATGGATCCTTTTCTTCCCTTCTGTAGGCAATTATCTCTTACAATTGGAGGTCATTAAATTTCGTAATAGGGTGTCTCTGCACCGACACATGAACAAAACCTCTTATGAAAAGTAGTGGTGTTGGCAGAGATTACAAAGACAAAACTGTTGTGATTTCAAGAATTTTCCTCAAAAATATATTTTAAATATCAATGGTCGATGCGACCAACATCCTGAAATTTTCGAAAAATTTGTGTTCTCAAAAGTGAACCTTTGGTGCCACTCGAGGAAATCACAGAGTCCAGTTTTCTATTGGACCACTAAATTTTTTTCAGTTTCACACTATTTCAAACTTGTATAAAAATTAGAAGACTTGAGACTCAAAAGGTCTCCCTCTTCTTCTTTTAATGCCCACTTAACCTGCATTGAAATTGCAATAGCTAAATGCATAATATATTTTTCTTTCTCCTCAAAATGGATTGACTTGAGATTAATTTACACATGGTTAAGGCTGAACTAGTCCTAGCTTTCATGAAATATATTTTTGCATAAACCCCATTAAACCTAACCAACCAAAACAATATTCAGGTACTACCGATTAAATAATAGCTTCAGTGGCTACCCCTATTAGCATCTAAAGAGGAATTCAAATTCAGGACCTCTTGAGTAATATACTCAAGAGTCTTTATCGAACCACTCAGTCATCTGAACATAGTTACCCACCCAATTTTTATTACCCGTATTGTCAATTCAAATCTACAAATCACGGGACTCTTGCCTTGTTCGCAACAAAATTATGCATCATACTAGTATTATCATAAAACTGTTTTGAACATGTTATTAAGCACGTTTAATTTAGAAATATTATTTAGTAACCAATAAATCGTTGACATTAACATTATAATTTTCTTCTTCCTAAGATTTGCCTTTTGTCTTAGAGTCCAAGAAAGAATCTTGAATAAAACATATGTTAGATTTATAGGGTTATTGTTTATTCACATGAATTGTTTTGTAGGTCAAAACTCAAAATCAAAGCTTCGGACGGCGCTACTGCTTTTTCCGCCGCTGCAAATCACTTATTGGCTTATAAAAATTGTATCTAAGAGTCGGATTATGACCATCCAAATCCAATGCCTGCATATAATTTTTTATTGCCTTAATCTTTACCTACTCTCCTATGTTATTTCATATTCCAAATGGCCCCAAATTTATGATTTCTTTTTCTTACTAAAACATCAATGCCGCTTGAATAAATGAGAGCCAACTAATCAACTAATGCATTTATCAATGCCGTTTTGACCGATATTTTTTTTTAATCACATTATCAAGAGTGTCTGAATCAGTATTTCAATTAATCTTCTGAAACCTTAAAACTATTGTCCGAGTAACAATCTCAATGATTATCTTTATTAGTGTTTAGATCTATTCAAACTCAAAAACTCATGAAACTTTTTTTTTTTTTTTTACCGATCAAAACGTGAATTACATTAATATAATTTAGAAGGAAATAAGGTGATGCATGATTGAATCATATCCCACGTAATAAATCTAATCAAATATTTTTTAAATAACAAAGCAAAAAATATTTTAAAAGAAAGGGGAAAATAAATAAAAATAAAAAGGAATAACGAAATATCATGAAAATATCTCTTTAAGGAACGAAGGGCCAACTAACGGCTAACGGCATATAAATTGTATACAAAAACAAGTATACCGATCATTATTATTACATATTTAACAAACTTTAACTACGTTAACTAATTATCCATAACCCTTCATAACTCCATCCTTCCACATTCCATTCACCCATACATTCTCAAATCCCAACCCAACAAACAAAAATCCAAATCCAGAAATTATCAAATTACCACAAACCCCAACAAAAACCTCTAAATTACTGATCAAGTGCATTAGGTCCAGTACAGTAATTCACCACGTGGTTCCAAACCCACTGAAGCAAGTACCTCCGTCTGATTCCATTCATATTGTAAGTTGCACCATCTTCACCGTCCAATAACTGTCCCGTGTACGACCCACCCCCTCCGGTTCCATAAATACCCTCACACAAATCAGCAATCTCCACTGGGGCAATCGGGTCGGGTCCTGCGTACCAAGCGTTAACTAAAGGGTTTGTTGCCAGCTCAGCAATCTCGTGACCAATTACGCTTATCATTCCGTCCACTCCTACGTCGCCGTTTGGTGACTTCACCGGCTTTAATCCGGGGATATAATTCGGCACAGCGAAGGGGTAGGCGCACACTCCTGGACAGAGCTTCCCTGAGTTACCAACCCATGCGTACGGTAACGTGTACCCCACGATTGACGGGAAGGTGAAGTAATGGAACCCACATACTTGTCCGCAGAAATCCTGGACGTACACGTCATCCGATGTGAGCAAAAGGTAAAGGCCACTCTTGGGGTTTATTGGTAACGGCTTTGACTTAGCAGTGACGTGGCTTTTAATCACGGTCTGAACGGACAAGCGCGTGAGTCTCTTGCCGTGGGAGTAAAAGCGATCGTTTTTCTCCTGGCCTAACCGCACCGTCCTGGAAATATTGTTCCCGGTTTGGTCAGTGTAAAGCTGCACGGTCTTCCACCAGCCGGCAATCGAGGGGTGCTTGGCGTTAACGGCGGAGATTGAGTTGATGAACTCGCGGATGATCTTCTTCTGACTCTTCTGCCACGTGCCGTACCATATAGTGTGTACGGTTATGTTGGCAGTGAGTACGGGGCCCATGTGGTATTTCAAGTGGACGAACTCCGACGAGCCCTCATATTTTTTAGAGTTACCGTAGATGAAATCGGAGGTGTTGTATGTGGTGTTCCGCCATGGGCGCCAGGCGGTGGAGGGAGCGATTGTGAGGAGTAGGGTAACTACGGTGAGGGTGAGGACCCCCGTAAGCGGTGGCATTTTATCGAGTGAGTATTTTGTTTGTTTGAAATGGGGCAGACAGAAAGAAAGGTTTAGTGTTGCGTTAAGGTAATGACCAATGAGGTTATATATATAGAGAGAGAGAGAGAGCGAGAGTGAGGGAACTAAATAAATAATGTTTTTGAATTTTTGAAAATATATATTATATTTTTGAGGGCCATTGATTTGCGGGTAATGGAGGACAGATAGATTCTTAAAAGTGAAAGAGGCGAAGAGGGGAAGCGGCTGGGGCCACCGAGTCAGAAAGAAAGTCAGGGGCACCATCATCATCATGATGGTCGTCGTCATCTGATCTGATTTGATCTCATTAAATTTTTTTTGCTTCTGATGCGCGGGAAAATGTTGGAAGGAGTAGTTACGGAATTCCACTTTTGTCCTTCTCTCTTTTATCGAGCATACGGTCCCTTTTGGTTAGTTTTGACCACAGTTAAATCTTACTTCAAGTTATGTTATTCATAATGTTTGATTTTGACGCCGATATCATGTGTAAAGTGTTTGATGGATTTAAAAATCATAGGTGATATAAAAATATACAACAAAAGAAAAAATAATTTTTAAAATAATTTGGATGTCCAAAAGCGAATCCTACGTCTACTATATATATATTAATAGATGATTACAATCAAATCGCGTACAGCGATCTAAGTTACAGTATAGAGAGAATTAAAATATATAGAGAGAGAGAGAGAGATAGTCTGTTTTAGGAAACTAAAAATGAGTGAATCCCCATAAATGAGAGAGGAGTCTTCTATTTATAGTCGAGAGATTCAAAATAGTAATCATGATTCTGCAGTCGGGCATGTGTTGTACAATTCCTAACTTGCTTCCCATTGGTTATCTGTATAGGAGATATCTTTAAATCGCGTAAGGCTTGAGCAGGTGGACAATTCCTAGCCACTCGCAAGTAAGGCTTTCAACTACCATATTGACGACAGTCTTACCTCTTTCGTCCTTGTGCGATGTGACAGCGTCTAGATGACATAAAGTCTATCTAAACTCTTATTGGCCCGTCCTGGCGTGCGCTTATGTCAACCCTTATTTTTTAGACATAATATTATATATTGTCGTTTTGATTCACATTATCAATTTTATTCATAACATGATGATAATTGTAATGCGAGGAAGTTGTTGGAATAAAATTTACTACTTACCCAACTCATTTACAACTTCTTGTTGATATTGAATTGTTGGAGTTTGCGTATATGAGAAAAAAAAAAAAATGAAAGTATATGTTAATTAAAAAAAAAAAAAAAATCAAATGGGATATGCGTCACGGTTTCAATAAAGTTGTTTGTTGTAGGTTTTAGTTTTTATTTGGGCTGTGCATCTATTAAAGGCATGTGAACTAAATAGACATAAGAAAATGAAAAATTAATGGGTTTCACCTAAATTGACCCTCTACTATTCAAGTTGTTATTAGTTTAGATTTAGGGTTTAATTTTAGAAAGAGAAAGGATATAGGGAGACCCAATCTTGCATTCATTAATGAAATACAAGAATGTTGGAATTCTTTTAAACTATCTATGGGTAATTAAATTGTTCAATAGCGACTTTTAGATGTATTTCTCAAAAAGTTATGAGTTTGAATTCCTCTTTGATTGCTAATGGGGATAATCACTGAAACTCTTATATAATCGATAGTTCTAAAATCTCAAGAGATTAGTTAAGATACACGTAAATTGATTCGAATACCTTTAATAAAAGAAAATAATCGATAATAATCTCTTATATACGAATTATTCATATATCTTATCGCATCGTGGTGGACATATAAATAGTCACGTTAATGAGATTCTAATTTTACATACAGCGAATTATTGATTTACAAATCACTATCATCAGTGTTTCGTTTCCTACAACAATTATTAGGAAGAAAATAATGGAGGCAATTAAGGATAGAAATAGAGTCACTTTCATTTCAAATCAGATAAATTAATAAAACCAAACAATATTGCTTTGGATAGATTTTTTCATTGACTTGTTTTTATTATATGATAATAAAATCAAACCAGAATAGAATCTCTTGATTAAGTCAAACTTTGAAAACTTACTAATATTGCAAAAGAATAAAATCAAGAACATGCATTTATTTCATTGAAATGACAACTCCAGAAGCACGAAGAAAATGAATAAAATGACATCAATCACCACCGGATGAGTTGGTGGTAAAAGAATTAACGCAAATTGAATGAGTTATTGAGTTTAAGTCTTTATAAATATTAGAAAAATAATAGAGTTATTGAAATTTATATACCAAATTTATATATTGAATAACGTAATAAAATCCTAACTATTGATTAATATTAATTTATAATGAATTAATGATCAAGATTTTGTCACATTATTTGGTGTACACTATTTAATAACTGTAGCATTACTCTAAATATTAATAAAGATGACCATTGATGCTTTTATCTGATTGATAATTTTAACCTTCCAAGGTCTTAGAAGATTTGTTGAAGTACGTCAAAACTAACATGGACATCCACGGTGATAAAAAATAAAATAAAATGGCTTTTATGTTATTAATCTTCAAATTACGAGTATCTCAACTAATTTTTTGGGATCCTAAAGTTAACAGTCGAGTAAATTCCATCAGTAACTACCCCTATTAGCAATTCAGAATCTCTTGAATAATATATCTAAGAGTCTTAATTGATTACTGAACCACCTAGTAGTGGTTTTCCATTCATTATTGTATATGGCATTGAACTATATGCTAAATTTATATATAAAAATTTAATATAAAGTATAATTGATCATATAAAAAGGATCCTTCAAAGCAGAAGAGTCCAACCCTTTCCCTTCGGTCCACAGAAGAAGGATAGCAATTTTTTTTATTTAATTTACAATAATAACCTTGTTTTTGGATTTTCTCACAGATGCAAGTGGAGCTGGTGACAAGAATGGGACCCTTTTGTTGTCTTCGTAAAGAAGGACAATCCTTGAAATGGGGGCATTGTTGAATTTTCATATTTTAACTTTATTTATCTTCCTAATTTCGGTTTACGTTAAAAAAGGATACACTGTCCAAGATCTTTGCTACAACACTTTTCATATGTATGATGTTTCATGCGCCGCACATTGTCAATAATCTGACCGTCCATATTTGGTCCTATGATCAGGATGAGGCGTTGATAATTATTATTCAATTAATTATATCTAACCAAGTTAATTCATAGTTGCATGATTCTGCATCATTGTAAACCCAACATATTGATTTAATTATAGAAAATTTTTATCGCCCCGGCCAGTTGTATCGCTGACTTAAACGTGATATTCACTTTTTTGCTCTTTTTTTTTTTTTTTTTTTTTAATCGGGATGTTTTGGTTAGTTTATGCGTACATTAATTAATTATTTGAGTCCATTAAATACCCTACAAGGTCAAAGGATCACATAAACCAAAATGTTATTGTAGTAGGTGACCCCAAGGTTTGAATCTATAAACTTAAGGAAGGCCAACCCCTTGGGGTTTATTTTGCTATTTTTCAGAATATAGAATATAAGAATTAAAAAGAAAATGGGGTCCAAGATTAGATAAGTGATAATAGGATTCGGAATGAACTACTTTGGTTGTTTCTTCAAAAGTGAAATAAGCTTCTATTTTATGTGTATCTTTTTTTTTTTTTTCCCCTTCTTAAGTGACTTAATATTCTTGAGAAATTTAATATCTCAAAGAAAGAATTGAAGAGTTTTACCAATATAAACCTTTACACGCTAACTATCTCTGAATGACTGAATAGTTCGATAGGGACTCTTGGGTATATTACTCAAGAGATTCTGAATTAAAGTCTCTCCTCAGTTGCTAATAGGAATAATGATTGGAGTCTTACCCAGCCGACAATCCTAAGATCCTGAGGGATAATTGAGATGCACGTAAGTTGACTCAAACACCTCCTGTCTTTTAAAAAAAAAAAAAAACCTTTGCACACTCAAATGAATAATCATACACCAAATGTTAAATATAGGAAAAAATAAATGATTAACTACCAAGAGAATGTTACTTTTACTATAGTGAATAATGTCATAGTTTCAAGAAAGGGTAAAATTCCCTTAATAAGATTACTCCAAGTGTCCTCAATAACATGCTTTTTAGTTTATTATCAATTATGGTAACAAACTCTCAAACCTTTTTTTTTTTTTTTTTTTTTTTGTGATTGGGTAGCGAATCTGTTTGTTGTACTCAAACGGTTGGGTAAATTTCAGTAATTATTCCAATTAATTATCAAGTTAAATCGAATTCAGGACCATTGGATATTACCAAAAAATCTTTATTCAATTACTCGGCTACCCAACGGTGGTTTCTCTAAACCATTTCCTACAAAATTTTAGAAGATAAATTCTATCGCACTCTATTTTTGGATGTGCAAAATTTAGGATAATATTTCCGAGAAATTTATTTTAGAAATACATCAATACGCAGCGAAAGCAGCGTAAAAATGATGGAGTTGGGAGCAGAGGGTGATGGTCCTAGAGCGACAGAAAGAGCCCACTTGCCAAGTGGAAGTGGAGCTACAGCCACGTAGAGTGAAAGAGTATGGGTGTTCCTAATCACGGAGTAAATTGCGCGGCTTCCTAATCATGACAATTGAGCGAATGCCAGTAGCAATCCTACAGGCACTCGAAAACGACTCTCTGGTCCCCACCGCTTCAATCACACCACTTAAACTTTAACAAAACTGTGATCAACAAAAACTTTGATCGTGGCCCCCACCCGTTGAATGTGAGGGTCACTTTTCTTCTTGTGTTCACAGAAGACGAAAGGAGAAACTGCACACACAACACGCTGCATCCACTGACATGTGTGTCTTGTTGTCTCACGCGCGTCTAAATTCCTTGGTAAAAGTAAAACATTGTCGAGCGAACTTTGGTATGTAGGCGGGTTCGTGGGATACACATACACCGCCCAGTGGATGAATACTGTACTCTCGGAATTGGCGCGTATTCACACTTTACTGTTCGCATAGAAGGTTGGTTGAAGTTGGGACCTACACGCTCTTGCTCTTCGTAAATTTGTTGATTTTACGTTTTTGTATTTTCTTTTAT